AGTGACTCCCCATCCTTACAGGGAACAATTACTTCCTAATATCTAATCTATCCCTGCCTTCTGGCAGTGGGAAGCCATTCCCCCTTTTCCTGTTACTCCATGCCCTTGTCCAAAGCCCTTCTCCAGGTCTCTGGGAACCCCTTTAGGCATGGCAAGGGGCCCTGAGGTTTCCCTTCTCTGCCATGTCCTGCCTGTGTGGAGATTCAGGACTATTCCCCCACAAGACCCCCCAGAGCAGCCCCCTCAGCCCTGTGTCCCCACAGGAGGCAGCCTGGACAGTGACACCCCGGGGGACCAGGAGCTGTACGTGCGGTGGCTGCAGATCGTGACGTTCCTCCCCGTGATGGCCTTTGGCACCCCACCCTGGATCTGCTGTGATGCCTGGGTATGTACCCTGTGCCCCACTAAGGGGGACACAGTGTCCCTTATGAGAACAGTGTCCCCAAAAGCCATGGAAGTCCTGGCAGGTGTCACCTGCCAGCCGCTGTCCCCAGATTTGCACTGAAACAGGAATAAATCCATTATCAGTGGTCTTAGATACAATTATCAATGGGTATAAATCCATTTAAATCCAATGGATTAATATCCATTATCAATGGATTTAAATTCATTTAAATCCAATGGATTAATATCTATTATCAATGGGTATAAATCCATTTAAATCCATTTAAATCCAGTTGATTCATGTCCATTATTGATTGATTTAATCCACTCAAATCCACTATCAATAGATTTAATCTATTTAAATCAAATGGATTCAATCCATTTAAATCTAATGTATTCATATCCACTATCAATAGATTTAAATCCAATTTACAGCAATTATCTATAGACTTAAACTATTTAAATACAAAGGGGTTTTATCCACTATGAATGGATTTAAATCCAATGTATTTATATCCATTATCAATGGATTTAAATCCATTTAAATCCAAAGTGTTCATGTCCACTATCAGTAGACTTAAATCCATTTCAATCCAATGGGTTAATATCCATTATCAATGGATTTAAATCCAATTATTTATGTTCACTATCAATGGATTTAAATCCATTTAAATCAAATGGATTCCTACCCATTATCAATGCATTTAAATCGATTACCAATGGATTTATATCCAAATTATCTAATATCCAGTATCAACCCCATTTGCACCTAATTAGCTGCCATAACTTGATTGGGACATTGGAATTCAGTCATCACTCTTCCCAAGGGAATAGACATGTATAATTATTTCGATTTTATGTATTTATTTTCATTTTTCCCTTCCCATTTTGCCATTTTCTAGATTTCTCTTTCCTCCCCCAACTGCAGGTCCTGAACCTGACCCGCCGGTGCATACAGAGGCACAGGGACTTTGTTGTGCCACTCCTCCTGAAATACAGCCAGGAGTGGCAGAGTTTGGGATATCCCATCTTCCGTCCAGCCTGGTGGCTCAGCCCCATGGATCCAACCGCATATACCATTGAGGATGAGTTTCTCATTGGAGATGAGGTGGGAATTGTGCATCACCTCTTATTTAGGGCCCTGTAAACCTCTTTCAGCTTTGGAAGTGAAGTGATTTAGCAGGAATAAATAGTCTCAGAATGCTGGAAACTGCTTTTCCCATGAAACAAGGGGAAAAAGTTCATTGGAGATGGGATTACCTTGGCTAAGTCCCTGGGGAAGAGTGATCAGAGCCCACTGCTCCTCATGCCTCATGTCCAAGTGGGAATCACCGATTTGTGACCCAAGAGCAAATATTGTTATGCTTTTATTTTTATATGCTTTTTTACAAAGCAATTCCTCATCTGCCAATGCCACTGGATGAGATTTTCATGGATATTTTGAAGGTATTGGACAGCTGAATCCCTTGAATTTGCTGTCCAGGCTGTGCTCCCGCTTTGCCTGCATCCTCCCTGTCCTGCTCAGCCAGAGATATGAGCTTGGTTTTGCAGGAAATACGGATTTCTGACAACTTTCATGTTCAGGTCTTGCAAAATTTGAGCTGGATAGAGTCTGGGTGCTGCCACAGGCAGGGATGATCCCACTCCAAGTCAAATGAAGGACACTGCATTGTTAATAGCTTCCCACTGCCAGAGGGCAAGGTTAGGTGGGATACTGGGAAGAAGTTCTTCCTTGTGAGGGTGATGAGGCACTGGCACAGGTTGCCCAGAGAATCCATGGATCCCATATCTCTGGAATAGGTGGGATATTGGGAAGAAGTTCTTCCTTGTGAGGGTGATGAGGCACTGGCACAGGTTGCCCAGAGAATCCATGGATCCCATATCTCTGGAATTGTTCAAGTCCAGGTTGGGTGGGGCTTGGAGCAAGTTGGGCTTGTGGAAGGTGTCCCTGCCCATGGCAGGGTGTGGAACGAGATGAGCTATAAGGTCCTTCCAACCCAAACCATTCCAGGATTCTCTGATGACCATCTCACCTCCACACATATGTTCTGCTAATCCTCCACCTGTAAAAGTTCTTTCCTCTTTCTTTTTTATTTTCCTGCAGGTCCTGGTTGCCCCAATAACAGAGAAAGGGCAAACATGGAGAGATATCTACCTGCCTGGAGAAGGACACCTGTGGTTGGACACCAACACCGCCCGTGTGTTTGACGGAGGCACCATCCTCAGGAACTACTCTGCCAGCCTGGCTGAGGTGCCAGTGTTTGTAAAGACCTCGTGAATCCAGGCTGTGGATGGACAGTGACCTCTGAGAGCAGCACTGGCCACAGGTGCTTGCTCTTCCAGCCTGTTTGCACTTTCCCAAGAACCTGTATTTTGGGTTTTTTTTATATTTCAGCAAAAATTGTTTGAATCTTCTTACTCGCTGTTATGCTAAAACAGCAGCAATGTGGCTTTGCCACTAACATCCACCCACGCAGAATGCTCTACCTGCACTTTTCCAGGGTTTTCCCAGTGTGTGTGTTCAGGTGAGCACATCCAACATTCCCAGGTCCCTGGCATCCTGTTCAGAGAGGCTGCCTTGGCCAGGAAGTGGATTTTCCAGGAGATAAACATCAGCTTATACCTGAGGAGAAGTTTTGTATTTAGTGAAAAGAGTAAACCATGGAAAACTGAATAGGTTAACTCTGTTCAGCTGATACCAAATGGGAAGACTGGAATTTAATGAAAAGCGTACATCCAGGGAAAACTGAATGGGATAGGCCTGTTCAGGTGCATGGCTGTTGGAGTGGGATCCGGACCTGGAGTAACGATGAGTCTCAATATGAGTATGGTCGTTCTCCTTTATTCTTAGTGCTTACAAGATATATATAGACATTCACACAGAGTACGCGAACGCAGCGGATACATGATTGGTTTATTCTCCAATCCAAGGAAATCATGTCCCTTTTCGCATAGCCATTCCTCCACACATGGCCACCTCTCATGCTGAGCACTACCTGCTTTCTCCCACCTGATGCTGTGTGTGTGGGCCACAGGAGTCTCTGGAAGCAAGAGCCCACCTTTGAGGGTAGCTGGAAAACTGGGTGAATTCCAGGTGTATTGGAAGCAGGTTTCCGTGGAAGAAAAATAAACTTGGTCAGGGGAATTTCGCATAGCCATTCCTCCACACATGGCCACCTCTCATGCTGAGCACTACCTGCTTTCTCCCACCTGATGCTGTGTGTGTGGGCCACAGGAGTCTCTGGAAGCAAGAGCCCACCTTTGAGGGTAGCTGGAAAACTGGGTGAATTCCAGGTGTATTGGAAGCAGGTTTCCGTGGAAGAAAAATAAACTTGGTCAGGGGAAGGAGTGGCTCTACCAGAACATGATGTGACAATCCAGGATCATTGCCCAGCTTGGAATGCAGCCTCTAGAGCTCAGCATGGAGCCCCAGTGTGCCTCAGCTCCTGCTTTTTACCATTTGTGGAATTTTACGGGGACTTTTCCAATTATTTCTTGCAGTGCAAGTGGGATCTAGTGTGACTAGCCTCCTTTCATCCAGCTGAGAATATATCTATAGGCAAAACTGATGTCCTACAGACTGAATAGACATTTAGGGAGATTATCAGCCACTCTGGTATCCCAAGTTACTGATTAATGGGATGTTGCAGGTTAACAGGGTGATTCCAAAGGCTGGAATTTGGGACCAGGAGCTGGGTGACAGTTGGAAGGGGAGTGAAGGGCAAGTTTTGGCCCTGGGGCTGGGCTTGGGCACTTCCTGTGATGCACATCATCCACACCTTGTTTTTTTACAGAAAAGGTTCATGCCCCAGGCTGTGGCTCTGCTGAAAAACAGTCATAAGAGGTACCAGCTTCTCCCAGCAAAGCTTCCCTGGGTAAAACTGGAAGGAAAGCAAAAAAACCCCAAAACTCCAAATAAACCAGACTCAGCCATGGAAGCTTGGGAGAGGGGAAGAACCTGTGGGGAAGTGGGGAGCCCCTCGGCTCCTTGCTTGGTCCAACACGGCACATGCTGGAGCACAGAGAGGGAAAGGATGGGGCTGAGGGCGACCCCAGGCACACCAGGGCCTGAGCTGCTCCAAAATATCCATGCAGGCTCCTGAGACACAGCAAAAAGCACAAAGTGAAACAAAGGAAACTCCTGCTAAAGTTACATTTGTTTATTCAAAGGTAATCAATTCCTAGAAGAGGTTGCCCAGAGTGCTCCGGTGGCTCCATTCTGGGAGACCAGCAAAGCCCTGAGCTGTCCTGTGCAAGAGCCAAGCAGAACATTTCCCTTGGTAGGGTGTGCCACCTGCCCCTGCTCCTGGCACAGCTGTGGGTCCTGCGCCATGATCAGTTCCTCCCTGAGGAGCCTGGAATATTGGGAACACAGGGCACCATTCCGTGTCTCCCTGTCTAGGTTCCCTGGCCTCGCCTGGGGTACCTTCTCTGCCTGACCTGCTCACGAGGACACTGCCTATCCCTGCTCCTACACTGCTGCCTGCTGGGCTGGCCCTGTGACTGTTCCTGCCGACCTTGACCCCAAGGGCTACGGGACCTGCACCGGGATCGGCTCCTCAATGAGGGGGCCGGGACGTCCCGTTGGGACCTTGAACCTTGTCTGCCAGCCCGTTGCAGAGCTGCCATGGGGTGCCCTTCCCTGTCTCCCTGTCTGGGTTCCCTGGCCTCGCCTGGGGTACCTTCTCTGCCTGACCTGCTCACGAGGACACTGCCTATCCCTGCTCCTACACCGCTGTCTGCTGGGCTGGCCCTGTGACTGCTCCTGCTGATCTTGACCCCAAGGGCTACGGGACCTGCACCGGGATCGGCTCCTCAATGAGGAAGCCGGGACATCCCGTTGGGACCTTGGAGTCTGGCCCTCCTCAGGGGCGTTCCACTGCCTCCTCCTCCTCCTCCTCCTCCCCCTAGTTCATTCCCACTTCCCCT